AATCTTCCTATAAATCAATTAACTTAATATAAAAAAACTCTTTCATAATTATAGACTAAAATTTTACCTCAAGCCAATTTACTTCCTAAGTATGTGCATCATTTGTCACAAAGAATACCAGGGAAAAAAGCACCAACATGCTGTTTGAAAAAAATAAGTAATCATGTATAACAAAGCTAAAAATACATAAATGAAGACAAATGAATTATTTCTAACTTCCAATCTCCCTCACTGCATCTAGATGTGCTATTTGTTTTTACCTTTGAATTGACAATTTAAGGACTAAGACACAAATGTATAAATGTTTTCACAAATAAACAATGATAAAAAATAAACATTTTGCCTTCTGATTAAACAAAAAAGAAAACTCTTACTCTGAATAAAAGGCTATTCTTTTTCTTTTTTTTTTTTTTTGCAGAACCGGGGATCGAACTCAGGACCTTGCGCTTGTCAGGCAGGCGCTGGCACCACTGAACTAAACCTCCAGCCCCAAAAGGCTATTCTTGATACTTACATCTCATACCTGGTACTGAACTCACCTGCTATTGCTTAAATTGTTTAAGTGTCTTTCTTGAGTTGTCCAAGATCTTTAGTGGTTCTTAGTCTCCAGTCTAAGATCCTGATCCCTGCTATCTTGTTTTGCTTGGATTTTGGAACTCTTGCTACCATTCCACAAACTGGTAGGATTTTATGTTAATCTCAAAAACCAATCATAGACTATTATATAATGGTTGCTAAGAGTTGCAAGGGTTTACAAAGAATCAGAGTAGTGTCATTTCTTTTTTGAATGGGTAATTCAACTGGCAAATGAAAAATAAATGATTGTTATTAGCTCTGTGTGCTATCAAGGCATCTGACATGGCTGCTCATATCTCTTGAGTAAAATACTAAACCATGAATTAGATTCAATTAGGGAAGTAGTAACTGGTTAAGAAATCATGGGGTACTTATAATATTCTGAATAAAGGATTTAAGTCAATACAAGGTAGAGGTCCATGTAATGCAATGGTTCTCAAATTTTATCATGCATCTTAATGGCCTGGAAGGTGTATTCAAAGAAATTGCTAAGTCTTCCCCCAGAGTTTCCAATTCAGAAGGTGTGGCCTAAAAATCTGCATTTTTAACAAATTTCTAGGTGATATTATTGCTGATAATCTGGAGCCCATGTTTTGAAGACTAACTAATGTATTGTATCTCAGGATATTAATAACAAATTTTCTTCAACATTCTGCCAGTGGCCTTGTGAAATATGTAGAAAGCATGATTACAAATCTATAGATGATACAAACTTGTGATATAAAAAGATCTCAATAGGCTAATTATGGGACAAATCCTAAAAACAAAACATATTAGTGATAATCTTAAAATCCAAAAATAAAAGTCAATCATATAAATATAGAATTAGGAAAATAGCAATCACAAAAAATAGGAAAAAGACAGAAAATTTAGAATACTATAGCTTCGATGTTTTGAGAATATACTGTGGCCACCAAAAAAGGTCCTAAGAATTTGGGCCTTGTTAATAAAGTAGAGTATGGGATAATGTATTTGATAGCCAACTACATATTATATGGGTTCCCTTACACCTGGTATCAGACACTGAAACAAAATAATCAAACAAGTTTGTTCTAGGGGCTACCAATCTAAAACATCACGTGAGAACAGTAACAGAAATGGCTAGTTTCTTGCCTTCAGAAGATTCAGAGGATATATAAGAGCAGTTTTACATATAACTGCCTTTTTTTCTGTATGACCCTGAAACATACTGCCACATACAGCTGTAAGGCTGCTTCATATACACAAGTCCCCAGATGAGAAGAGGAAAAGGAAAGCTGAAATCCAGTTTACATTTAACTTAAAAAGTCATGTGCCTTGGCAAGGATTGAGGTAGGTAGAAAAAGGGTAAACGTTCTCTAATTACATAAAGGAGACGGCTCTAGGGGGCTTTTTCTTTTTTGGTGAAGATACCTTTTCTAATTTGCAAGAAAAGTGACACAATAGACTAGAGGTAACTCTAGCTCTAAAGCAGAACTAGGTCTGTTGAGAGAACTTTATAGAGAAAATGATTTCAGCTCAATGTAATCTATTGACATATAAATGTATTGTAAGGAAACACATTTTATTGGGCAGGGGATTTAGCTCAGTGGTTCCAGCGCCTGCCTGGCAAGCCGAAAGGTCACAAGTTCGATCCCTCGGTACCCAAAAAAAAAGAACATTTTGTGAAGAGTTGTTAATTCCTCAATTGGTTGTTGAAAGACCCGCTAAACAACTACATGACAGGGTTACTTTAGGGAGGATTCAAGGTGGGAGGGCATGTGCATATGCGTGTTTGTGTGCACGTGTGCGTGTTTCTGTGTGTGTTAGTGTTATTACCAGGTGGGGGAGAAACTCAATAATCTTTCAACACCTAGGTTTCTTCATTTGAACTATCTTCTCTGTATCTCAGTTGATTCCCATGGTATTCAGGCCTCTTTTTTTTTTTTTTTTTTTTCAGTATCAAGGATTGAACTCAGGACCTTGCACTTGTAAGGCAGGAGTAGCACCACTGTGCTAAATTCCTGCCCCTATCCAGACCTCTTCTTATCACAAATTTACTATGTATTCTACACTTCCTTCTACCCAGCCAAATTTCTCTTCCCATCCCCCTTTCTTTTCCTATCCTGCCCCAGTATGCAAAAAGCATATGTACTACATTAATACTGAAAATAAACTTTATATTTTAAAACTATGCTCTTCTAGATATTAAAAAAATCCAAACTTAAAATAGGGTGAAAACATATTGTTAATCTCAATATATTTATTGAGAAAGCTAAATTTCATTCTTTTGGTGGGGGGGGTACTGGGGATCGAACTCCAGTCCTTGCGCTTGTGCAGCAGGTGGCAAAACCACTGAGCTAAATCCCCAGCCCCCAAAGATCAAGATTTTAATTATCTTTTTTTTGTTGTTGTTGGTACCGGGGATTGAAGGGTCCTTGAGCTTGCGCAGCAGGCAGCAAAACCACTAAGCTAGGGCTGGGGATTTAGCTCAGTGGTCTCGCCGCCTGCTGTGCAAGCACAAGGGCCCAAGTTCGATCCCCAACACCAAAAAAAAAAGAAAAAAACAAAAAAAAAACAGTGAGCTAAATCCCCAGCCCATCATTCTTAAATGATTTTATATATCAGTCACTGAAAGTCATGAGTGGGAGACGCGTTATTTCTTTTGCACCAGAAAGAGTATGAAAATCTCTGTGGAAATCTCTTCAATATTTATGCTACATTGACAGAATTTTTTTTTTTTTTGAAAGGAGAACAATGTTAACATTAGAAGTAGTGAAATAAACATGAGCCAAAGATTTTGGCATATATATCACTTTCTGTCATTACAGCAAAGGTAGCCTTTCATAGATAGGCAAATGAACAGAGGGATTTAGACATTGAAGTTACCTAACCAAATAGCAATTTCCATCAATGAGCAACAAGTCTAAATGAGAAGACACAACCAAAATGCCAGGAAAATGTTCAACCACCTAATTATTTTGAGGCCACCATAAAGATGTAATAATAATACAAAATGCTTCAAACTATATTTGTTGAAAGTATTTGTGTAAGGAATGTCAGACTGGAATGACCATGTAACACAATTTTTTAAAAATTTTAAGAAATGTTTCAGCAAGGGTATAGTTCAGTGGTAGAAGATGCTTAGTATGAGGTAAGGGGAGAGGAGAGGTGGGGGGAATCAGTTTCTACATTATTTTCAGAATTAAAATAACAATTTGAAATTAGAAACTTGTAAAAAGAAAGTAGGGCCAGGCATGGTGGCATGTGCCTATAATCTCAGCACTCAGGAGGCTGAGGCAGGAGGATCACCATGAGTTTTAGGTAGCCTGAACTACATAGTGAGTTCAAGGCCAGCTTGAAGTACATAGTGAGACCCTGTTTCAAAAAACAAAAAACAAAAAACAAAAGTGGGGTTTTGGGGGCAAATATTTTTGTAAATAGAAAGTATTATAAATGATAGTTTTATCTTAAGAAATAAAAATTTTCTAATTACAGAAAATTAGGAACACTTTCTAGGAAAAGAAAATTATGGTTTTCCTAGCAGAATACATATACAATAGACACACAAATACTTGATATTTGTTGTGGGAAAAACTGTCAGTCTTGCTTCAGTTTGTAGGCTGTTGATATTTTTTAATGACTTTCTTAAAGAATATATTGTTGCAAATTTTTCCTCAGACAAATATTCTGTAATTTTTCTGTGCCCCACTGATTTCCAATTTGCCAGTGGAGGTGCCTGATTCAATAGTTAATCAGAGATTTTCATCATTTAATTAGAGTACCATTCATTTGAAAGCATTGCTTGAAAATTAGTCATAGCTATGTCCTGTAATTAGTGTTATAATTTAAAGTGTGATAAAACTCATATGCAGAAGCACATATTACAAGGCCAATAACATACAAATAACCAACACATCTTGTTTCAAAGCTGATTGGCTAATGTCAACATCAGATTATGGAATATGTAAATCTGATTACCTAAACAAAATAAAGTGGAAAAATAATGGCAATTATAAAGGCTTGAGAAATCTTTGGGAAAGGGGAACAAATTCAGAAGTTTCATTTGGTATGCAGAGTTTTAAGATTATTTTTCTACCAACTATCTAAAAACTTACCTATAGAAAAAGAATGACAAATTTAGAATAATTTCACTCATTTATAATAAACATTCAGAGAGTCCTAGCAAGAAAGAAGACTGACCACAGAAAGAAATGAGGGAAAATAAACAGTCTTTTAAATTATTTCAATCTGAATTAACACTTCAGTGCCTGTCTTTAGAGGCCTTGAATGTGAAGCTATTTTTTCCTTCCTGTAAAGAAGTTATCCTCATTACAAAGGCTGCCAAACATTTAGTAACCAGGTTTCTCTCCTTTCCAAACTACCCTACTATATAAGATTTTCCCTTATATAATTTTAATACAGACTCCTAGAAATGCATGAGAGTTAATCAATACGGTACTTACATTCACACTGTATGACGTCTAAGTTAAATTGCTGAACAGCTCCCATGCTTATTTGTTTTAACTCACTGTCCAGTAGCATCTGCATTAAGGATGTTGACAGATGCTGGCAGGCTGACATGCAAGCTGTTTGAGCAACTTTCCCCTGTATAAAACAACCAACCAAACCAAAAAACAAATAATCAAACAGATACATAAAATACCACAAAAATTATATACTTAGCATTGTTTTTGTTGGTACAGTAGTGACTACTGGCTTTTGTATCTGTGTTCTGAATGGCTATGTCTTTATATCACAAAAATTAAAATTAATTGTGTTAATTCTCTCATCTTTCACAGAATATATTAAAAAATCTAACTGCTAAAAGGAAAATTAAAATACAAGCTTAAAAACTATTATCTTCAGATTTTTTGAGATATTTCAGATATTTTAAATTGCACATTAAAACATTACATTTACAACATAAAATCACTGTCATACTGACACAACATTTAATCCATACAATTCTCTTTAAGTTCTCCCTTATATACCTAACCAAGCCAGAATGAAGGAAATTAATGGTGTAATTTATTATTATTATAATTTAAACTGTAGCTGAAAATCAAAATATACTTTGAGTTATAAGTCCTAACTTCTACTCCAAAGATTAGCCTGTGGCATAGCTTCAATTACTGATGGGGGAAAAGGCCTGACACTAGTAAGACTTCAAATTCATCTGCAGATCTTGTAGTTAGTTTTAGAAATTAAGTTTTAAACTCATTTGATAATTTAGAAATATATAGTCATGTACACTACAAATTACTGTGGTTTTCTTTCACAAATTTTAAAATATTTTCTACTATAATAAGCACCTAAAACTAATGAAATTTCACTCTTTCACTGTTATGCTTAACTGCATTGTTCCCTTAAAAATAAGTTTCTTAAATGTTTAGCTTCTATAGCTGTATCACAATACTGTATCACTTTTAGTATAAACTTTTTTTTTTTGCAGTACTGGGGACTGAACACAGGGTCTTTGCACTGAGTTATATCCTCAGCCCTTTTTTCTTTTTCGCAACAGGGTCAAAGTTGCTAAGATCTGCAGGCTGGGCCAAAACTTGGGATCCTCCTACCTCAGCCTCCCAAGGAGCTGGGACCTATAAAGGCATATGCCATCATTTTCTTTTTCTTTTTGCAAAACTGGGGATTAAACCCCAGGGTTCACAGATGCTAGGCAAGCACTCTACCACTGAGCTACAGTCCAAATACTTTTTATTTTGAAACACAGTCTCATAAGTTGTCCATAATGACCTCAAACTTGGAATCTTTCTGCATCAGCATGAGTAGCTATTACAGATGTGCACCACTATGTCTGGCTATAAACTGTTTCTTTAAACAGGCTTTGCATTTCAAGAAGAACTTTAAAATATTATAAAGACTTTTAGGTAAAATTTTCCAGCAAAATACTCCTTCTAGGATGGCTATCTTCAACTGACAATTATGCGATCTGGTGATGACTGATTCCTACAGAGATCTATGAATATAGTTTACAAATAATAGCTCTTGAAAAATGTTTTGTTTGCAATGTTTCCATGAACAAATATTTATCCAGTGATATTTCATAATTTTTGTACTCATCACAAAAGCCAATAAAGCTAAAAAATCATAAAAAATATCTTTCAAACATAGCACTATACTAGTACAAAAACGTTTATGTAAGTATTGATGTGAAAGGTAATAAAAAACATTTTCATGATGTTTATTCAAACATTTGTCCTTTAAATTATACATTAAAAATCAGACTATAAACAACTTTTATGAATTAGTCTTTTAGCATTTAGATACTATGCACAATGAAAAACTCAGTATCTGAAATGGAAATGTCAATTTCTCAATCAAAAACTTTAGAGATAAAAGCCCATGCAAACAATATATTTGACAGATACTGATGAACTGCCAAGAAGGAATGTAACAAACAATGAAAAACCCAGCATGCTTCAAGATCCCTCAAACTACAGGAATTAGTTTAGGAGACATGCAGTTCCATTCCTCCAGCAGAATAATATCAATATAAATGGGAGAAGGAATAAAGCAGAAAAAGAAGAAATCAATGGCATGTTATTTAATTACAATGTAATAGGCTTGAGTCTATTGGAAATGTCATTCTGGAACTGTCACCTTGATCTAGTGAAACAATTACTACATTTTAGTTAATGTACTTCTCTGTCAAATCAGCTCCATGTCCTATTTATGCTGCTACTATATTAACTGCAAAAACAGATTAATATTACCATAAATTATTATTAAATTCACTTAATAAGGAAACACAATGAACAATAGAAGTGGTGTTGTTTTAAGGAAAGCTTTAAATTTAACATGGGTTCAGACGCTACACATAATTATATAACAATAGTACTGAAGCCAAAAAAAAATAGTAATAGTACATATAGAGGCTAGTCAATAAACCCAGTGGAAATAGGTAATGAATACACATACATAAATTTAGAGTTTTATTTAAAAAACATGCAATAAAATTCTACTATTAAATATCTTTTGATTAGACATACTAAATACAAGTTTCTTTTTCTCAAAGATAAAAGTTCAAAAGATTTATAAAATATTTTATATACTTTCTAAGTCAAATTCTTTTTTACAGATTAAAATTTCAATTAATAATGTTCAAGGTTCAGATTCTTTAAATTTTAAAAAGGTTATATTTCATAAGATTACACACTATTTTTTAAATGTCTACTTTCTAACAATAGAATGTGTACAAATATTCTTAAATTTTATCTATTATCTTTAGATTAAAAAATTTAATGTTTCTAAAATTTGTACACCAAAAATAAATTCGGTAATTTATTTCTGATGCCTATGGCCCTTACCACATTTAGATCTAACCACACAACCCCTTTTGAACACTATTATTGGTATTCTTAATTTCATTTTCTTAATATCATCTTCTAATATTAAAAAAATCTAAGTATTTATACAATGATCTTTAAAAATTAGCCCTTTCCATTACATGCTCTGGTTTTTTAACATAACAAAGTCAAAAATAATTAAGTGAGAAAACAATCCACATACAATACATTTTAAGTACACTGTACCTAGAAATCACTCCTGCTCTCATCTCAAAAGTTAATTGCAACTAATAAAATTTTTTAACTCTTTCTCTTTAACAACACAAGGTTCAATAAGTAAAAACACCTGCTAAATTTTTAAAGGTAACTAACTTTTTTTTACCCTACTCTAACATTTTGCTGAAAAACAACTTGCAAAGAGAGAAAACCCTTAGACAAACTTCTTATATTTCAAAGGAACTTGTAAAAGAGAATCTGCTGACATATTAGACCCCTTTCGCATTACCCAAAAGCTTTTCTTCTAAGAACAATTGTGGTAAAGAGACATTTGGCTCCCAGGAAATTCCCAAAGGGTCAACCATATGCATCCTTCCATGGCACCTTCACAGTGCTGCTTTCTAGATTCATGTCTCAAAAGCAGCTTTCATCATTTACTTGTGTGTCAGTCAATATGATTTATGGACTGCATTCAGCAAAGTCAAAGCATATAGAATGAGAAATATGACTACAATCTGCTAATTTGTTTTGTATTGAGCCATTTAAGAGTCAAAGACCTGATGTCAGACTGAGACCAGCAACACAATTAACCAGTCGGTGACAGATTCATCCATCCTCCCTGCCAGGCTGTGCCAATCAAAGACAGCATGAAGTGACATTTGGTGAAATCAGTAAGAAAACTCATTCTCTAAATAACCTATGTGAGGCCTTGACTGACACTTTTTGAATTTAGTTTGTGGAACACAGCCACTCTTTATCCAATAGTATTTCACTGCAAGCTGTGAAATAAGGCTTTTAATGCCAATCACAGGAACAATAAACCAGAAACCATCAACCTCATTCTAAAAGGAATCAAGAAAATGCTTACGTTTGTATATCAAGTCAAATCTCCAAAATAACTTTCTATTATAGATTAGGCTACAGATACTCTGTATCCTTTGAAATATCATAAAATAACATGTAATAAAAATAAGGTATTTTATTAGATTATGACCAAAACTTTTGGCTCAAAAGTAATGTTTTCATAGAAATGTTGAATACTTATAGGCTAATTTGGTACTTTAAATTTTTGTTTGAAGTTTTCATTTGTCTCACCATTCTCTTATTTCAGCAGAAATTCTTTGTAAGCACTTTTTGGTGTTGCTTTCATTCTCTCAAGTACATGTGCTGTAAAAATGTGTTCTTGAAATCAAACCCATTCTTTCTGTATAGGTCTATTCTTCCTTAATGATCCCAGAAGAGTCCATTTTCCTACATTTATATCCCCACATAAAAAACCAGTTTTTTACAATTAAACTACTTTTTTTACGTAAGTAAAAAAGAAATATATGGATTCAAATATATAGAACACTATTATTCTTTAAATTGATAATAGGTTTTGTTTTTTAAAGTTATGTCACTAATGTAAAAAAAAATTAAAAATAAATAACTAAATAAAATTTGGCCTATTTGAATACAAAACCTAACACTGGTTAAGTAAACTTATTAATTCTGGTCTTGTTTTTTAGTTATTTAAATTAAAGTAGTAAATTTTCATTTTCTACAAATGTGCTGCTTCTTAGTTTGATACATAAAATTGTTATGAGTCTGAGACTGTCTTTTCAGAGGCAAAAGAGGAAAGAGAGCATATTTATGAATTGGTCAGTCTCCTAAAGAACCATAATGTATACCTTTTAAAATATACAAGCTGAAGGATGGAGATCTTTCAGAAAATGTAGAGTTAAGTACTAGAATTAGAAATAAACTCTTAATTGAAAAATAAAATGCCTAGCTGAAGTGTAGACATTTTAAGAGAAATATATTATTCTTTCTTCTGGTTTATATACGAACCACTAAAATTTAACTATGTGAAATTACACCTTGCTCAAATGTAAAAATGTTATCAAATCAGAAAAAATAAAACATTACCATAGAATATGATCATTTCCCCAAGATGATTTCACAAATGTACAAGTATTCCTTTACCTAGAAGATATATTTTAATCCATCTTCTGAGTAAACACTCTATAACATGGAAATGTCTCCAATTCCCAGTAATACAGAATGGGTGAGTTATAAAGGTTTAAATATCAAGATGAATTCCTC